GCTGCAATGTGCCAGTATAGACAATGCACCAGCGCTGGGAGCTACGCCCCTTGTGGGGGAAGGGGGAGGTTAGCGCTGTGACGACTACACAAGCCATGTTAAAGCGCTGCCATAGCAGCGAAGATGTGCCTGTGGCTATCTAAACTCCATCTAAAAGCTGGGAGAGAGCCACCCCCATGAGAGGCGTAGCTCCCAGTGCTGGTGCACTGCCACTTTACAGCACTGAAACTTGGAGCACTCGGGGGTGGGGTTCACACTCTGAGCGAGACAGTTGCAGCGCTGTAAAGTGGCAGTGTAGACAAGGCCTTAGTCTCTTTAGCAATATGCACCACAACAAATCTTAAATCAAAATGGACAACATGTTTACAGAGCAAATGCTCTGTATTGATTCTTGCTTCAAAGAAAAGTAATGGCAGACTTGCAAAAATAGGGGACACAAATATGCTGTAAAAAGCAACAGAGGGTCCTGTGGCACCTTTGAGACTAACAGAAGTATTGGGAGCATAAGCTTTCGTGGGTAAGAACCTCACTTCTTCAGATGCAAATATGCTGTAGTTGCTCAGATGTGTCTTTGGAGAACAAACTGACCAAGCAATGTAAGTACATGTTTTCTTTTATAGAAAGTTTCTATTTAGAGCAAATATCATGCATAATTTCTCTTCGTTATGTATTGGAGAGTCTTTTAGTCATCTGAAGGGGGGGAATGGGATTGGCTTCAAGTATAAGATGTTACCTTTTTTGATACATAAAAGTAAGGTTTGCATAAGTCCCTATTTTATGCTCCTACTACCTAAACAATGGCAATTTCATATCAGCATTGGTTCCTTTTTCATTGCAGCTGAGTCTGCACTACTCAGTGTTTTGCAGCTAAATGTTACATTTCAGACCTCATAGAAGAAATTCTTGTCTGAGATACTCCAGAAACCACAATCAATCTAGCTAGTTAAAGCCATAAAAATAGGTTCAAACACTAACAAAAGATAGCTCATTTGGCAAACTAGGCTAAGGTAGAAGACATGCATCCCAAACAATTCAACAAATGAATGCTAACAGAGAGCTATACAATGTGTTAATAGAATTTGGAGGGAGGTCTTGAAATGAGCACCAGCGCACAGAGAGGCTCTACTTACCTGTGCATCTCCCATGCATTATAAAGGGCTTATTTTTAAATACAGAAATAAGGGTTTTTTTCCTCCAAAACTGGTTCCTTTTAAAGAAAAGACTACTCAAGTGTTTAGCTCTGTCTAGATGTCACCTGCAGGGATTCTTTTGTTGGTTCACTTCTATTTCACAAAAATAGAACTGCCTGAATATTTAAATTTGCTGTAGTACAACTCCTGAGTAGAAAGAAAACTGGTTTCTATCCCTATGCAGTTGTTCCAAAAGAAATGGGGTGAAATCTTGACAAAACTGACTTCACTGGGGCCAGGATTTCCAGCTTAAATGCGTATACTAACCAGCTGGATCACTTGGTACTGATAATCAGAGCCCTGCATGGAAACAAAATTTGTTTCTGCATCCCATCTGCAAATATGGTCTGTGGATATCTGCAGATTTGCAGGGCTCTATTGATGATCTCCTTCCTCCCTTCTAGTTAGAGGAAAAGTATTGTTACAATTGCAAATCTGTTCTTGCTGCTTAGAAGGTACCCCAGAACGGTTAGTCACAGGGAATTGGCTTGGTTTTGCCCATTTGGGTAAGACTCCGTTTGTTCTGCCTCCTGGAACATTAGAGTAATGGAATTGCATGGGGCACAAGTGGGAGCTGAATTCAGTCCTAAGTCTTAGCAAGAAAAGCTTTGTACCTTTTCAGCATTTGATCATTCTAAACAACCAGCATTTGATATTCTTCCTGACTCCGTATATTTTTGGAGTCAGATATAGGTTTTGGTTTTATGAAAATTTTTATATCCCCTCAAAAATGAATTCCAAAGGTAAGGACTCAGTATGGGTTCTAGGAGACAGAGAAATTGGGATTGGGTTTTATGGATAAAAATAAAGTATATCTATGAGGTCAGGTTAGACTTAAGCAGTATAAATTGTGATTTTTTTAAAGCTCTAGGTACAATAGAAAAAATTATACCTCTCAACGTAGAACTCTCAGTAAATGGACTTTAAGTATTATACTGTCCTAGGCCATTATAGGCTCTATTTCCTTTTTTCATTCCTAAATCATCATTCCCAGCAATTAGGTTCCGTGTAATTGAGTTTCAGAAACTCATCAGCTTGAGTTCTACAAACCTTTTGTGTTGTCCTCAACCTTCCTTGGGACAGAACTCCACAGCCTTGCTTGTGTGTTAGCTACTAGAATGGTCAAATTCTGCTCTCATTGACTTCAACAGAAGTTGTACATAAGTATTTGTGAATCTGGTTTATGGAAGAATCATTCTACTGATGAAGTATTAAGGCAAGAGGCTTTGTTTAAGAAGAAGTAACTGGCAGTGATCCATGACATATTCCACAGGGCTTACACATAACTTGCTTTTAAAGTAGCTTTAATACACAGTCAGTGCATCTTAACCAAATGGGAAATGTTTGATAAAAATCCAAGGTATTCTATGTTCTATGTAATAGGTTGGAGATTTAGGAAATTAAACCTTTTGACCCATTTTTACATTGATCTTGTAAGTGCTTTGCTCCTTTCTGGTCACAGATAATAACTATGCCTGGGAAGATCAGACTGAGGATGACAAGTCACTTTACTGATTCGGGGCACTCTTACGGTAGCAGGGGCAGTCCATTTAGCTCATGGAGAAAAGCTTAAACTACTGTCTAGACCCAAACTAAATACAAACATGTCTGTATTCTGTTCTAAGCTGACCTTTTGAATGTTACTTTATGAATTCCATTCCACCCCCAATAAATTGACACAAGCTTGGTAAAGAAGTTCATAACTTACATTTTTAAAAAGACATGTTTAGTAGGCTTGTTCTTCAGAGTTAGCCTCTTAAGGTTCGTGTCAGTTCATTTATGCTGTCACTTCAGCAAAGGTAAGTAGTTCTCCTTAAACACACAACTCTGGTTAGTTTATGTAACTGCTGCATTGTTGGTTGAAATTTTATCCAGTGTACTAAAAATGTTCTAAAGGTGGTTTAGTCCTCAGCTTATGTGGTTCATTGCTTGACTTCTCTTCAGGTGCCTCTTGCGGATTTTGATCATCCACTTAACACTTAGTTTGGCAAAGTCTGCTGCTTTAAACAGAGCCAAGAAAATACCACAGAGTAGAGCAATCATGTTCCAAGGATTGGCAGTGACAATCTGCAAAGGAGTTGAGACAAAATCATAGTTTCTCTTACACTCAACTTACGGTACAGCTGTTCAATATGTTATTAAATTCCATTTCAAATTTTAATTGTTTTGCCTTATACATTTTATACAGTATTAGCTCCTAGTCTCCAAAAGCATCTTCCTGATGTGGTGTTTTATCCTCTAGCCAGGAAGAAAACATTGAGCGCTGGAGAGAGAGAGTCTCAAACGGAAGTTCAGTTTTGTCTTAAGCTGTGTGCATGCACAGCCATAGTAGGACGTACTGGGATTACAAAGTCAAAGAGAGGCAGAAGATGGGCTTGAGAACTCCTAAGTGACATCAGCCTTCCTCCAACTCTTCTGAGCACTGTATGCTGAATCTCTTAGTTTTAAATTAAGTCATGCAAGAGGCTGAGGAGTGACTAAAGTGTACTTACATCTTGAACTTTTTGTATAAAAGGATCTTTCCATTCAAATACCACAAAAAACAATTGGTCACTTGCCGGCTTATGCCTCTGGTCAATGTAGTTAACCACACTAGTCTGGCGGGGGGAAAAAAAGGTAGTTAACGTTCTCTTTCATCAAAAGTCCAACCTGCTATTATACTGAATGAGGGAAGAGTTACCAGACAAGGTTGATTTTAAAATGGGGCTTTTAAATGACTTGAAGCAAGTAGTGGTCTGGTTTAACTGTTAGGTATTATATGAGTAGAAAGGTAAGTTCCTATAGCTGTTTCAATTTTAACCTAACCTAATCTACCTCCCCTTTTCTACTTACCTTAAAAAAAATGTGGCTACTTAATCTTTGAGTGTCCAGGTACCCCAATAAGAAAGGCTAAGTTTGTTCCAAAACGGACAAGAAACACTATCATTAAACGCAACCCTACTTTACCCTTAGTCATTTTCAAAGCTAAAGGCAAACCAGACTTATCTAGATGTCCTGATTCCCCCAAAATGTGTGCAATTTTGGTTTAACTGAAGGACTAGATCTATATTGGTACTTTGAAAATTGGGATGTAAATTTACTATGAATAAATATTGAGGTAGATTTATCTTGAATCTCACCTACAGAATTGACTACAAAATTGTAGGGGGAAGAGCCAGGCTTAGTGAAGTGCCCAATGCCAAGCCAAAAAAGCTCAATTAGAATTTCATCACTTCCCAGTGGGGGCCCCCAACAGCTAATGTGGATAAGGTGACCTTCTTTTCCTGAACCAAGTAGTGACTGATGGCAACAGGTCTGTTGCAACCCGCAAGCTTCTGTTGACATAACATGTAGAATATGCAATACCGAACCACAGAATAGCTGTTCTGGCCTGCTGAAAGAGAGGTGGTTTGCGGGAACCTGAATTTCGATGAAGATGATGGGACATTGCTGTTTAGAAAACTCCTTGAAGCTTACGCAATTTATGCCACCCTCCCTGCAACTAGGGGCAATAACAATGTAATTTGCACTTATTTTGTGAGCTGAGCTTAGCAGATGGAAAAACAAAAAACTTGAGAGCTAACAGAGCTAAATATCAGAGTTGTACATTGTGTCTGAAGTAGCAAATAGAAAGCACTTGTCAAGACTTTAGCCTCAGCTGGAGACTTGGAGATGGGACCTGTGCATAAAATACCTACTAATTCATGACAGACAGGTTTGTACATAGACTCATAGACTTTAAGGTCAGAAGGGACCATTATGATCATCTAGTCTGACCTCCTGCACAATGCAGGCCACAGAATCTCACCCACCGACTCCTGTATCAAACCCCTAACCTATGTCTGAACTACTGAAGTCCTCAAATTGTGGTTTAAAGACTTCAAGGTGCAGAGAATCCTCCTGCAAGTGACCCGGGGCCCACGCTGCAGAGGAAGGCGAAAAACCCCCAGGGCCTCTGCCAATCTGCCCTGGAGGAAAATTCCTTCCCGACATCATATATATTATTAGGATTAATTTTTTTTTACGGTCAATACAGTAGCATGTATTAGAAATTTGAAAACTATACTAGAGCCAAATTCAGGTGATTGAATTTTAATCATGAAAAATTCCTAAGCTACTCCCAGCAAGGTATTTAATAAAACAGCCTATGTATTTTAATTTTTTCTTCAGAAATACATCAAGGATGTGACAAATAAGCATAGTCTGTGCCTTACTAAAAACTACACAGTGTATAATCTGGGCTTACAGGTTATAAAAGGTAGGTGTTTAACCACAGAAAAGTTTACCATACATTTTTGCTACAGGCTAGAGAAAACTACTCATTCCAGTCCACTACAATCTCCTGTCCAATTACAGAAGCGTACTTCCAACTCAGCTACTGTCATTCAAGAAATTTGTATGACAGGAAAGGAGCAGTACAGTAGAAATCTAAGTCAAGGATATGGAAGAAAGGAAAAAGAGAGAAGATGGGACTAGTTCCAAAAACTAACTAACTGTGTGATTTGCCCTATTATCTGGCTCAATTGGCCTGGCATGACTCCCTGAAAGGCTAAATGTACTACTCTGTCCAATCCAACCAATAAGGATAAAGTCAGAAAGCAGGTGATTTTTCTTTTACCATCAAACTAGGGCAAGGGTAGTTATGGCTTAGCTATTTAACTTATGCACATTCCAACATCTTTATAAACAAGGTTTTGAAACATTTCAAAGCACGTGCTTGTGAGCTTAAAAATCTTACTACTCTGTATTTGTATGAATAGTAGTGGCTAGAGTTCTGCTACCACAGGTGGTCAGAAACTACATGACATCTTTGAACTAGAGGGATTCTTACTCTCACAGACCCACAGGTTTTTTATTGGAGAGTTCATTGCCAACTGGTGCACTTCATAAGCTCAAGTGTCTCAAGGGATGACTTCCAAAAATAAAACGTGTAAGTGCTAACACTATGCAGCTGAGACATCTCTATATATCCTTCACCATGTCTGACTACACTACTGCCACCCCATGTTTGGATCAGATCAACTGATGGATTGAGAACATCTGGTTGAACCTGAGCAAGATGGAGGCTAAGCTACTGGGCAGAGGAAAGTTCTTGGAGGAGTTTGCAGCTTCCTTTGGTTGAAGGTACATGCCCACAATTAGTCCATTTAGTTGGTAGTTTCAGAGTGCTCTTGGGTTCCTTGCTGATGCTCACAGAGCAGCATCCACAAGTAATGTTTTATACCCTCTGCAGCCGGTCAAGAGACTCCACCCCATCATGGCAGCTGACCTAGCCTTAGCTATACACTCCTTCGTGGACTACCTCTCATCTGGACTACAGCAATGCAATATACTTGGGCATGAAGACATCTGCCCATCTCACAACATGGCTACCATGAGCACATCAGACCTGCCCTTTGTTCCTTACGCTATCTTCCCATATAATACTGACTCAAGGACTCAGTCTGTGGCCTGGCCCGAGGATATCTAAAAGTTTGTCTTAAAGCTCCACCATGCTGAGTGTGGTCAACAACTCCGCTGCTCAGGCACAATGACATTTTTGAACACAAGGGTAAATCTTGCCTATGCAAGAGACACAACTTTCTCAGAGGCTGGTCTGAAACTGGAATTAACTCCCCCATCACAAATCTCACTTCCAAGCACTCTCCTTGCCTTCTTTAACACCAGAGCAGCATGTATATAAAAATAACATTACCAAACTGAAATGCTACATTCTGTACTGCGTGGGCAGTACAAGTCACAGGAGATAGAAGTTAAACACATCTCAATGCATTATTAGACACTCATACTACAGTAATGAGGGCGGTATAAGAAGCTATATAGAAGAATATATAATTGTAATGGCAGCCCTCAGAATAGTGGCATAAATCTCATTTAGATGACATTTTAATAAAAAGCTCACTCCAGGAATCAGTGGAAACCGCCTCAAGGGTTTGCTATCCCTCCGAGGAACATGGGTTCAAACAGGAAAAGAATGCTTTGATCCCAGCTCAGAGGATGGTCATTAAAGGTCAAAAATTGACTCCACCTCCAAAAGGCATTCTTGTTCTCTTGCAGAAATTCAAGATGCTGCAAGACCAGATTCTGGAGATTTACCAGGCAAAAAGAGCTTCATGGCAGATCTTGATTTAAATCAAACCACCCTGAGTCAGGCACTATTGTTAGTAAGGGCACCAACGTATCCAGAATCACTCTCAATCAAGGACAAATACCATTACTGAATGAATAGATCACACTTGATTTATTTAATACCAGGATTTCTCTAGAATCTCAATATAAATTGTAGCAAGGTCTAATTTGCACCCATCTAAACTGTTTTAAATCTCAATAAGGAGAGGAAAAGTCTTGTTTCTCATTACCTCATAGCCAGATTCTTAAGAAAAATAAACTTAACTCATCCTCCAATATACGGATCTCTCTCTTGGAAGCTCAGTTTAGTCATCAACACTCACGCCATCTATCCCTATGAACCCCTGATTTGCTTCTATGTATTTCATTGCTTTCTAAAATGACTTTTCTGGTTAACTCTGAGTTTTATCCCCTGTTTACAGGGCTATTGCTCAACTTTTTTTTTTTTTAAACTGTTACTATATTCTGACTGTATCATTTCAGAATTCCTCTCCCCTCAGAATACCCTATGGGGCACCTCCTGACATCACTGCTTTGCAATTGCCCCCATGCTGCTTCTGCACTTAGGGAACTATGGGTGAGAACTGGAAGACATGCCCTTCAAAGGGCAAAACAGCATGTTATAATGAGCATTTCTCTTTCCAACTGTGCGACAGGTTAACAAACACATGCTTTTCTAAAAACAGATGGCTATATTCTGCTGCTCTTAGCAAAGAAATGTTTCACCTGCTAGTCACAGCTGCCCTTCTCCAAATCAATTGTTTCATACAAGGCAGTTACAGTTCTATTGATTTTGCAGATGCCTCCTTCCAAACAACACGGGGAGTGAGACAAGTTAGGGCTTGTCTACATTTAAAACGTTACAGCAGCACAGCCAGCGCTGCAGCGCTGGAACTACCTACACAGACATCGGCGTAGGTAATCCACCTCCCCAAGAGGCGGTAATTACATCAGCAGAACAATCCTCCATGGACCTAGCGCTGCCTCCAGGGGACTTAGGTCAGTTTAACAAGTGTGAGTTTTTCACATCCCTGAGGGATGTAGTTAAACCAACCTAATTATCTAGTGTAGACCATCTCTTTATTATTACTCTGCTCTTTCAGTGTCGTCGTGCTGCGAGAAATTCAGGGTAAAACCATTCCATAGGTAGAGATGAAAATAACTACATAGGTAGTCATCTTCCACCACTGAACTGGTGTTCACTTCCATGTTTTCTGAAGTGCACTATCTATTCTACTTCTAAATGACCCAAGCTTCCTTAATTTCCTTCATCTATTCTACAGTTTATTTGATGATCTTTTTAAGAACTGGTTCTTAAATTTCAGCCTCAATTTTCCTTTTCCATTACACTGACTTCCATCCCTAGGACAAATCTAGACAATTCCTCTCACTCTTGAAAATATTTGTAGGTGCTCGTTGTAGCTTAGGCTCCTTTTGAAAGTCCCAGCCTTAAACTAACGTTTATTAATATTTTCTAACAAGTCAATCGCTCCAGCTCCTTACTCTGATATTCTAGGTCTAGTCTCACCAGTGTAACATAAACAAGGACAATCAGCTTCCTGGCTTCTCTGTCCAGTCAAGTTTTTCCAGGCCACAACAATAAAGCCATAAGGGCAATATAAACCCTCTGCTGTGTTATGCTTTTATGAAATGTGGGAAAGCAACTTTGAAACTGCTTGCTGGAGAGCTGGAATAAGGGACCAATGAAACATGAAAGTCAGTCATATCTGTCACTATGCATCACAGCAAGCTTCTTCAAAGCCATGCTGCCTTTTGCTTTGAGGAGCAGCTCTATTAGACAAGGTTACTATTGCTGCACCGTATGTATTGAATGATTCTCGCAGCATGACAATCAGCTAAGGTCTGCCACATTCAGAAAACCCTTACAGAGGATACGTACCTCCTGTTTGAACTCCACAGTCTCACGCCCATCTTCTTCTTTGGTTTTCACCAAGGACATTTTGACCCAGGTTCGAAAACCACCAGAGAACTTCCAGCTGGAGTATGAGCTTTCGCAGTCTTTCATGAATTCTGTTTTATCTGGACTGAGGGGCAAGGAATAGTGTTACTTCTCTGAACTAATTTGGACCAAAATGTTTTACTACTTCAGGATGCTCAAATTGCAAAAATTGAAGGTCTTTTAAAATGTGTTGGAGTTACTTTTAACTGGGATTTGCTTGTTTGGACTCCAGATACAGAGCTCCTAAAACATAACTTGTGTTAGGATTTTCATTTTTTTATCTGTATTACACACCTGTTTTGATCCAATCTGCAATGTATTTTCCCCTCACAACACCCCTGTGAGGTAGGGAAGTGCTATTATCCCCAATTTACAGACTGGGAACTGAGGCACAGAAGAAATTCTGGGTGAAGCTAGGACTTGAAGCCAGGTCCCCCAAGTCCCAGCTATGGCCCTAACCAGTAGGCCAGCCTTCCTCTCTGAATGACGTTGCTTGTCAATCCTTCTTGGTAAAATACCTCCAGGACGCTCAACAATCAAGCCTCCACTCAATTATTAACCTATATTACAGCAGCCCCTAGAAACCTCACTCAGAACCAGAGTCCCCCTTCTCAGGCTAGGTTCTGTATATGCTGAGAGGTTCCTCGCATATGCTTGCAGTGCATTCTGTGTACTCGATAAGAATGTGTTTTATGTCTGTACATTGTTGTCTTTAACTTCTCATTTCCTTGCTTTTAAGTTCTTGGATTTTCTGGTGATGTGATAGGATAAGTATGGTGTTGTCACTTAGTTACCTTAACTTGTGAAACTCACATTCTGTTTGTTCCTGGAATATATACTGAAGGCCTGATTTTAAAATGAAACTCCCATTTTGCAATAATAGCAGTTGTTTTCATAACCTGTTTGTTCCCAAATGAAGGCATTACCGCCTAACTGCAGTGACTCGTAGTAGCAAAATAGATTACCTTTTAGTACTATGGGCTTGACTTTTTTTAAACTGCTGATACCTCTTTGACAGTGAATGGAAAGGCGGCCTAATTCTTCTGCGTATAGCATCTGTTTTCCACCCAACCTCTGGTCAAAAAAGGTAAAGAGCTCAAGAAATTAACCTCTCATCAGTTGGTCCAAAGATAAATCTCTCTTTGGGGGGCTCCATACGCCTGTGCTTCTAGCCCCCTTTTGTTTCACGCCAATCCCTGAAGCCATTTTTAATACATTTTCATGAGAAATGAGCAGCTGAACCCCACTAATGTTATGATGTGTTAAGGCACAGGCTGGTCATTTTTACTAACCAGGGGCAGCTAATTTTTAAAGAGCATGGTATAAGGTAACCCAATCATTCAAGAGGGTTGGGGCTCAGCCACACCTGTGTCAGATTTAGCTCACCTCTTGGGGTGAAAAGAATGTGCACCTGGGTCACATGATGGGAACCATGTGACTAACAACCAGATCTGCTGGGAGATATTAGGGATGTCTATGATCATTCAGAGGAGAGACAAAGGAGCAGGACCTCTGTGAGTGAACTACTACCAGCAGAGAGAGCAGAACAAATTCTGAAAGAGAAAGTGGTCAAGGACATAGAGGTAAATGGTAATTGGGATAAAATACAACATGGTGTTACAAAAGGTAGATCGTGCCAGACCAATCTGATCTCTTTGAGAAGATAACTGATTCTTTTAGACAAAGGAAATGCAGTAGATTTAATCTACCTAGATTTCAGTAAGTTCCACATGGGAAATTATTAGTTATGTTGGAGAAGATGGGGATATATGAGAATTGAAACGTGGATAAAGAACTGGTTAAGTGGGAGACTACAATGGGTCATAAGGAAAGGTGAACTGTTGGGCTGGAGGGAGGTTACTAGTGGAGTTACGCAGTAATCGAACTTGGTACCAGACTTATTTAACATTTTTATTAATGATCTTGGCACAAAGTGGGTGTGTGCTAATAAAATTTGCAGAGGATACAAAGTTGAGAGGTATAGTCAATACGGAGGAGGACCAGAATATCATACAAGAAAATCTGGATGACCATAGAAATTGGATGAAATTTAATAGTGCAAAGTGCAAAATCAGGAACTTAAGCACTAATAACAAGAATTTTTGCTATAAATTGGGGAATTAGCAGTTGGAAGTGACAGGAGGAGAAAGACCTGAGTATATTGGTTGATCTCAGGATGACTATCAGCTGCCAATGTGATGCAGTGGTGAAAAAGGCTAATGCAGTCCTAGCATGCTTCTGGCAAGGTATTTCCAGCAGAGACAGGGACGTGTTAGTACCATTATACAAAGCACTGGTGAGACCTCATCTGGAATATTGTGTGCAATTCTGGTCTCTCATGTTTAAGAAATATGAATTCCAATGAGAACAGGTGCAGAGAAGGGCTACTAGGATGATCTGAGGAATGGAAAACCTACCTTCTGAGAGACGATTCAAAGAGTTTGGCTAGTTTAGCCTAACCAAAAGAAGTCTATGGGGAGATATGATTGCTCTCTATAGATCTATCAGAGGGATAAATACCAGGGAAGGAGAGGAGTTATTTAAGTTAAGCGCCAATGTGTACACAGGAACAAATTAATATAAACTAGATCATAGAATATCAGGGTTGGAAGGGACCTCAGGAGGTCATCTAAGTCCAACCTCCTGCTCAAAGCAGGACCAATCCCCAGACAGATTTTTGCCCCAGATCCCTAAATGGCCCCTCAAGGATTGAACTCACAACGCTGGGTTTAGCAGGCCAATGCTCAAACCACTGAGCTATCCCTCCTGGCCATCAACAAGTTGAGGCTTGAAATTAGACAACAGTTTCTAACTATCAGAGGAGTGAAGTTCTGGAACAGCTTTCCAAGGGGAGCAGTGGGGGCAAAAAACTTAACTGGCTTCAAGACTGAGCTTCATAAGTTTATGAAGGGGTACGACTGCATACAATGGCATGTAGCCGAGCTGTGACTGTTAGCAGCACATATCTCCACTGGCTGGTGATGGGATGCTAGATGGGGAGGGCTCTGAGTTAACACAGAGAATTCTTTCCTAGGTGTCTTGCCCACATGCTCAGGGTCTAACTGATCACCATATTTGGGGTCAGGAAGGAATTTTCTTCTGGGTCAGATTGGCAGAGACCTATCTAGTGTAAATGGTGGATTCTCTGTAACTTGAAGTCTTTAAATCATGATTTGAGGACTTCAGTAACTCAGCCAGAGGTTAGGGGTCTATTACAGGAGAGGTGAGTGAGGTTCTGTGGCCTGCAATGTGCAGGAGGTCAGACTAGATTATCATGATGGTCCCTTCTGGCCTTAAAGGCTCTGAGCACTCCATTAAAGCGCAGGAGCCTGGCCAATCCAACTTGCCTTTCTCGATCAAGGACTGTTGCTGAGTGTCCTCTGCTGGGCCCAAGCCGCTTTTCCCTGCACACTCAGCAGCTGGGCTCCTGTTTCTCTTCTCACCAACCCATAAGCTCTGATTACAGTGTGGTGGAGCTAAGCCTGGGGAGAGCAGCAGCTGACCAGGCATGGTGAGGGCTGCCTTATGTTGTGGTGTCTGATCAGCCCTTCTTTGGTTTAACATGACTATGCATGGAAGGGGGGAGGGGGCATTCAAAAGTGACACCCCGCCAGGGAGGGGAGGCGATAAGTTATAAGCTCAAATGTTCAAGAGAAACCCACGTTCAAATTTCACTATATACATGAAAGAAGCAGAACTAGGGGCAAAGAAAACAGTGCTCAAAGGAAAAGCACTAGATTATCTTCACCCCCACCTTGGAAGATCAAATCCCAGGACATTTAGTGGCTCTAGGAACATTTAGATCAGCTGTTTGTTAAGGCACTCGGACAAAAGGACCTAGCTTCGGATGCAAGAAACCCACACAAAAAGGAAATGGGCAAAACATCAAACAAAAAGCAAAAGCAAATGAAACAAAACAGGATTCAAGGGAACTGGGTCTCACAATGGCTCATTCTCCGTTAGCTGTAAGAGACTGTAATGAGCAGCACACCCATAGCTCACGGGGACAAATCCAGAACAGTCCAATGCTTTATCACTTTGCAGCGGAAAATGTATCATTAGAAGTTTACCAAGCAAACAGGCCCATCACAAGCCTGAGGAATGACTAACCTACAATGTCCTGGAAGAACTTTCCAAGCCAAATCATACAAGGAAATGGAAAATCTAAGCAGTAAGTTATGAAACCAATCTGAATGCTACAGCCCTAACTTTTCAGAATGAAGGGACACTGATAGATCGGTTAGGCCCAAAATGATGTAGCACTTGTGGGCTTTTAAAATGTTCAATTCAACGAATTTGGGAGTAGCAATGAGAAAGCATTTAGCTATGCTCCTGCATGTGTTTCCAATCCAGACCATTGTAGCACTGTACTAGAGCATTAGAATCAGAAAATGAAACTGACTCAAAAAAAACTGACCAAGCGTGGGGGGGGGGGGGGGGAGGGGAGAGAGAGAGTTTGCTCCAAATTACATAAAAATGAAGAGAAAATTAGGGTTTTCAATTCACTTTTAACCTGTATTTAGTGAGGTAGGTAAAATTTTGTTGCATTTTAAATACATAATTTAAACTGACTAATTTCCTTTTGACTCTCCTATGGTAGATTTGCTGAAAAGTCCGCTCTGTCATTGCTTCAGTCAGTGGTTGAAGTGGATAGAAAAGTATGGGAGGAGTCTGACATCCCCACATCTGCCCATCCCACCCCCCAAATTAATTCTGCCACCACCTCTGCTTCGCCTACGGTTCCTGGATTTCTTTATCACACTCTCCCAGGCGGGGGGGAAGAGAGAAGAGAAAGGGGGAGAAGCCCTGCAGTTGGGTCCTTTTTCCCCCCTTCCAGGCGAGAGAAGCAGTTCTGGGGCTCTTCACCCTCCCTTGGCTGAGTGCTGCTGGGGAAAGGGCGGAGGAACCAACCCATCCCTGTTGTTCAGAGGAGGGGGAAAGAGGGAGCCGAGCTGCTCTGAGCTGAGCTCTTTCTGGTCCTGCTCCTGTGCGAATGGTGTCCATTCTGGAGGGAAGGGGGAAGAGAGCTCTGTCTGCGTTTTGCAGCAACCCTGACTGGACGCTCTTCCCCATGAGACAGGTAAA